GTCTGAAAGGGGACTAAATAAATTTTATGATTTTAAACTTAAATTTTTTTTTAACTTTTAGGGTCTTACAGCCGCACTCAGAAACGTTCCTTAAATTAGCTCTAACAGGCACTTAACTAATGATCGTTAAATCAGTTAATTAATGTTTCCTCTCAGAGTCAAAAATTATGAAATGAAAAATTTAAGTATGACTCCAGTTTCGGCCTCTTTGTGTGGCATCATTCTCTTTTTTCGTTCAGTTTGAAATCAAATAAGTACTTATATCATTTTTTGCGCACTCCCTCAACAGTCGCATTGGCTGAGTGAGCAGAGCACTGGCGTGCCATTCGGGAGATCCGAGTTCGGGTCCTACGGCAGGGAAATTTTATTTTTCCTTTTTTTTATTTATTTTATTTTCTTGTTAAATTTTTAAAAACTTATTTTATTTATTTTTTTTCCTTTTTTAATCTAATTTTATTTTATTTATAAATTCTACAATATTTTTTAAAAAGGAAACTTTTTATTTCATTTAAATTTTACAATCTGTTTGCTAAAAAAAGCCAAACCACTAACAGTGCAATTCTGGCATCTGTCTTTCAACTCATCTCAGTCCTTCGAAAGATAAAAGTCTTTATATTCCTGCAACTATCTTGAAAGCTCCTTTATGTATTGCGGATGACTAATTGAAAGATCTGCTAACGAGAGGAATAGCGTTATTCTATTTATCGTTAATAATACATTTTTTTTACACTAAACGAAATTAAAAAATATTTTTTTTTATAAGAAAAACTAAAAACTTGGGAAAATGAAAGTGACAAATGAAAAAAGCTAAATCAAAAAAGTTTCTTAACATAAAAAAATATTTATTTTTTGAACAATAAAGCTTACAAATTAAAAGAAAAAAAATTTATTAAAAAATAAAAAAAAAACCGTAACCGAGGATTGAACTCGGATCTCGCGAATGGCACGAAAAGTGCTCTGCTTACTGGGACATTGCCACTGTTACAGCAACGTTATGGAAATTGAAATTTATTGTAAACAAACAAAAAATTTCAAAATCATGCGTTAAAGAGTTTAGTAAAGTGTTTTCTTTACTTAACTTTAATGTTCATTAAATGCCGTTAACGAGTATTTAACTGACTCGGAGAGGAACTTTTTTCAAATCGTTACTGAGGAATACTTTNACTTACAAATTAAAAGAAAAAAAATTTATTAAAAAATAAAAAAAACCGTAGCCGAGGATTGAACTCGGATCTCGCGAATGGCACTAAAAGTGCTCTGCTCACTGGGCCATTGCCACTGTTACAGCAACGTTATCGAAATTGAAATTAATTGGAAACAAACAAAAAATTTCAAAATCATGCGTTAAAGAGTTTAGTAAAGGGTTTTCTTTACTTAACTTTAATGTTCATTAAATGCCGTTAACGAGTATTTAACTGACTCGGAGAGGAACTTTTTTCAAATCGTTACTGAGGAATACTTTAAGTAATCATTAGTTCACAACGTTAAATTTATAAAAAATGTAATGCATCGATTAAGGATATTTATTATCGATGTCTTAACAATCGTTTTAAATAATTGGTGGACGAGGCAACTCTAAACTAATATTTCGTATTTCCTCATTTTCTTTTCTTTCGCAAAAAGGTTTCAGGGTTTGTTGTTTTGTTTTCCTTTGCTTTTGGACACATACATCGTAAATTTGTGATAATTTTTTCACAAATCTAGGGAGTATAAAATTAGCGAAAATTTTGTGAATACTGAAGGAAAACGGAAAATCATTGGTACGTGTAATTGAAGAGTTTGCATCAGCTTACTGTGAAGGAATCAAGTTGGATTTAAAAACGTAGGCTTGGAGGAGCAACTGGAAAACCACCCAATCGATACTGCAGCTAAATTTGAGGCTATTAAAAGAGGTAAAAAAGAAATTGTGCAAGTGAAATACTCCCGATATACATATGTATGCATGTGCATATGTTTCCTAGCAGGTGACTAAAACTGGATTTATATGACTATTACAAACATGTAATATATAGAAGGTATACCTAATGTTGTAAGCAATGCTTTTTTGTTTTAAAAAAGGAATATTAATACGACAATGCATTGAACCAACACTTGATACGTAGTCGACATATTTTAGAAAGTTCCTAATGATGTTTTCCAAAACTTGTAGAGTTTTATAAGTCTTTGAACGTTTAAAATAAATTATTAGTTTTGCTTCTCATATAGAGTTCGTTCCAGATGCTTCACGATTTGCAGGTTTTACAAGATTTGCAAGAACAGCTGTTTTCTCCAATAATAAACTTTAAGGTAGGTGGTCACCTGAAACGGCTTCCTGTAAAAACCTGCAAATCGTGAAGCATCTGGAACGCAACTATAAAAAAATATGACGTAGGGTGACGAGGACAATAATAGCAAACATTCTTTATTATGGCTTATCTTTTTATTGGAAATTCGGCATATGTGAATACATTTTTCGGAGTATCTACTTACACGCACCATGGTAACTTTTACCGTGGATCCACGGTAAAAACTACATCGAAAGAAGTTCTTACCCACTTCTCCGCCAACACAGAAAGGAAAATTCTGAGTAGTAAGGGTTATAATCCCTAAGCGCGGCCGAAGACCGCCTACACAGAAAGCAGTTCTGTCCCACTTTTCCGGCAACACAGAAAGGAGAATTCTAAGTAGTAAGGGCTATAATCCTTTAGCGCGGCCGAAGGCTGCCTACGCATAAAGAAGTTCTGCCCCACTTCTCCGGCAACACATAATCCACGTACATCTACGGTAAAAGTTACAAAAAGTGTTGGTTAGGGCCTTTGTGAATTAAAGTAGCGATATGTAACTACGCAATAAACATTGGGCTTGATTAACAATTCGAAAATGATCGGAAAACTAACATTTTTTTCTAGTCGCACCTTCGATAACGAATGTCGAATAGGTTAGTATTCGATTCGAGAACTAGGCCATTCTCCAGCAAAACGGAACCTTCGTTATCCAATGTTTTTTTCCTTCGTTATGAATTCGAAAACCAGCGCATTATCGAATTAAAATTTTAATAAGAGAGAGTGATTGTCTTATATTTCCCCATGATTCAATTATTATTATTATTATTATTATTATTGAATCATGATATTTCCCTTAGAAAATGAGCTAGATTTCACTTCCTCTCTTGTTACTATGGCTTTCATTTTTTTCGAACCCATCTCGAATGTATTTCCAATATACTAGGAACGTTGGAAAACTAAGGTTGGTTATGAGTTCGTTCCAGTTCGATATTCGTATTGGATATTGAAGGTTATTTTCGAACGTACGCCAAAATGTTTATATGGTATTCATTTTTACCTACTATGGGAGTATGCATACATACGTATGTAAATTCGAAGGTCGTAAGCAACTAGCAATCTTTAAATAATTGGCTTCAAACAGAATCGCTTTATTTTGAATTGAGTTGAAAATGAGAGGCAAGTAATATTTAAATGATATTCATTTATTATTAAACTCTATTATTGATATGAAAAACTCGTGAAATATTAAATGTGTAATTTGCACATTTTTAGTAGTAGTACCAGCAAACAAATTAAGCGATTTGGATCTATGATTTATTGATGACGATAGGCAATAGCAAATATACAGTAAGAAATTGACTGCGTAATGCTTGCTCATATTCATAGTCTAGCGACGTTCCCACACCGGTCGGGTCTGCGCAAAAAGAACGACTAAGATCTACATACATATACCGGGCCAGGAACTGACACTCCAGCCGTTTACCATTGTGGAATTCTTGTTCTGTTAAAACGAGTGAAATTTTGATGTTCTATGGCAGCTATACTTAAATCATTAAAAGTATTAACTTGAATCAAATTAGGTTGCGCCAGTCCCTACGTAAATTATCGTAAGTTTAATTATGTAGAGATCTATTTTAAGATTTTAATTGCTTGTACTTAATTATATTATAAAATTGTTGTTGTAACAGCATAAACAACTCATCAAAGAAATTTTGGGGAGTGTTGCTGGAGTGACAGTCCTTGGCCAGATATACTCCAGGTTGTTCCGGTTACGTAATTTGTTTTTCATATTAATCGTTCTAACATGGTTCGCCTTGCGACTTTGTAATTCTGTTGCATTAGGTGGAATTGTATTAGTTACAGAAGATGAGCTAAACTATAATTTCGAATTGTGTGACTTCAAATGATGTGTTTCATTTATCTACCCATTTTTTAAATGTTAGCTGCAATATTGGGGTTTATTACGTAGCCCGAACATACTTATGATGCCAGGTAGGGTTATTTCCTTTTTGAAACAGAAATTCGCACTGGGACCTTTTTACTCAGGATTAAAATAAACAGAGCTAAAGTAACAGCATATATAGCCTTATCAGACATATACAAAAATGAACTCAAAACAAATAAATGGTCTTATAAAACAAACGAATGTGCTACATACATATATACATACATATGTATGTACAGAAAATTGTTTATTCAAGTGATATATTTACACTTGGTGCCAACTAATTAAGTTAGCGACATTTTGACCAGTTTTTGCTATTTTTCCTTTGATTATTTATGATTATTTAAAGTTCATTACTTTTTTTTATAACGAGCACTCCACATGTTAAACTTTGAACAAAAATCATTGAGGCTGTTTACGCTTGCCTGATTTTTACTTATTTTCTTCTATTTTAAGTATGCTCGAACTTTCTTTTAAGCCCCGTCTGCGAAAGTGAAATGTGGATTTATATGGTTCTTGTTATAAATATCGCTTATTTACTTCAATAGTGTCATAACTCAAAAAAGCAAAACCCGAGTTAAAAAATGGAATACTAGTAATCGATACATCTATGGAATTTTTAACAACATTGAAAATGAAGCAGTAATTTCGCATGATTAACTCAAGTTTTGTATTGAAGTAAATGGTTTATATAATGAGCTGCTATAGCAGTCTATAGACTTTTATAAGGAAATAATAAAAATTAAATAAACACATACAAAAATATATAATAAAACTAAACTGGTTAAAATGTTACTAACTTAATTAGTTGACCACAAGGGTATATGCATCTATATATATGTGTGTGTATACTTACTGAGTATGTATGTATGTATGTACACACATATGTACATATGTACATATGAGTTCATATATCGCTCATTTACTTCAATAGTATCACAACTCCAAAAATAAAATATCGAGCTAAATGTGCAGAAATTGCCGCTACCTTTTCTTCTATGTGTTGTCAAAATTCAAAGCTGTATCGATTACCAGTATTTCGCTATAACAAAATATGTATTAATTTTTACTATGGGAGTATACATATCGATGGTCCTGTGCAATAACGACACAATTCAAACAATTAAAACCAGGGACGTGAACCGGTTTTGAACCGAACCGGTTTTGAACCGGAAAACCGCTTTTTTCTATTAATTAACTGAACCATTAACCGAACCGAAATGTTTCACAAATGTTTGATCCGACCGAAAACCGAACCACTTTCTATAAATATTGAAAGGTTCGTCTCAACCAATTTTCAATAGATAAATGTACTCACTTTTTTTTCTTTTGGGTAAACATGGTAATACCCATCATGTTTGTTTACCATGTGACAATATCAAATGTAAAGGCAACCCATCTCATACCCTTAACCTTGCGCGTTGTTGCACCTGACACTTGACACTTAAACTTTTTTTGTTTTTCGAACCGTTAACCGAACCGAAACCCCGGTTCAAAGACCAAAAAAACCGCTTTGGCGAACCAATCCAAAAGTGCAAAAAACGGTTCGACCCGCTGAACCGAACCAAACAAATTTTTTCATCCGGTTCACGTTTCTGATTAAAACTGTTGCTACTGTTTAGTGGCAATGTCCTAATGTCGAATCCGTGTCTAATCTTTTGCACTTACTTTAGCAATCCTTACTGCTTACTTTAGTAAGGGTTGGAAATGGATTAGACAAGGATTAGAGACAAGAGCCATTTAACAGTAGTAGAGTTTTGAATAGTGTCGTTATTGCACAGGACCATCGATATGTAAATTCAAAACTTTAAAGCCGTTTCCTCGAATGTTGCTTTTTTGAGTTGTGACACTATTGAAGTAAATGCGCGATATGCATTAAATCCATTTTTCATACTTTACTGGTAAAAATTGAGGTTGGAAATTCCTGTAGCATTATTAAACATTGACGTGAATACGAGCGTATTTCGATTTTATTTTGTTTTGCTTATCTTTTGTTGAGAAACAAATTAAAATAAGGCGAAAATTCAAAAAATGCAAAAGAACAAACAACTAAAACCACAATCATTAACACTTGTTTGTTAAATCAAGTATTTTTTCTGATGTGTCCCTTTCCTATTCAACAAACCGTTTTATCAGTTAAACGAAGACGTGTACATACATATATGCGCTACATTTGCTAATATGTATTCAGAAAAACGAAATGTGGGTAAAGGCTTTAATTACTTTATACACGAGACAAGTAAGCAAAATTAAAAAAAATATCAGTCAGTTGGTTGGAGTTGTTATTACTGAAGAGTTANTTGGTCTCGAAAATGTCAAATATTTTTAATTTTTTCTCACAAAAATTCTGAATTGTTAAAATCCATTTGCATGTGAAACCTTTTTCCATACAAAACAAGCGATTGAATAGCAGCTTTTGGAACGTTCGCCCAACTCGGCAGCACGACCGCTGATTACTGGGCCTTGCAAAGGATGGATCAATGCTTCGAGAAGTAAACAAATTTACTAGGAAAGAAAGTTGCATCAATTTTTATTTTTTCCAATTTTTATTTTTTATTTTTTATAATTTTTTGTATTTCACATGGCACGCTTTGATTTAGAAGAAAAAATTCAGAACAGTTTTTGACACTTTCGATACCAGAAGCAACAACAAAATACACGCAAATGTTGTTTTTGCTCTACTGATACTACCTGTTTAATGTGCCTTGGTTACGCCCAAGAAATACAAAAATTTGAACATTTCGAATAGGTGCTACTTTAAAAAAATCAGGCAGACTCTGCAATTCACATCTGAGCGAATTTCAACCGAAATGAATTGCAGAACCTGCCTGAATATCTTTCTTTGTATGTACATATGCATCTAAACCTTCTTCTGCAAGCCAATGATATTTTTAAGTAGGACTTGTACATATATACATACTTAAGTATGTAACTAAGCGTATTTTAAATAAATTTACTTATTTTATTTAATCGGATACTTAGGACACGTCAGTTATGTATGTATGTACATATGTACTTATATTTGTTTAGGGAACTTAAATCGCAACAAGTTGGATAAACAGCTCCCAGTTTACATATATTCATATCTATATATATTTTTTTATTGTTACTGTCGGCGGTAATTATTACTTTTTTTGTTTTATATTTATGTAGTTGATCGAACAACTGCAGTAAAAAAAACGCCACAAACGCCAACGCACAACAAAAATGGGCGATGAATTCGATGGTTGCGAATGCGTGTGGTCGCATGAGTATGCTATGCAACGTCTTTTGGCGATGGTGAGTGCAAACTTTTAAACATGATTGAATATTTTCACAGATGTAGTTTATCCATTAAACTTCATTTCTAACAGATTCGCCAGAGTCAAAATCATTGCACCGACACGGAATGCATTGATGGTAAGCTTTTTTTTTTAATATTTTCACATTCATTTTCTTGAGAATTGTAACGGGCTTTCTTATCCTTTTGCAGTATCTGGCCGTGTACGCGAAACTGCTACGGCTGGCAATGGCAATGAGGGCAGCAATTTTACTATGATGACAATGTTTATGCTCTTTGCTGTGCTTATGTATTTCATAAGACCAGAATCGATTATGAAATTAACAAATACAAAACGGCGTTCGCAAAGGCAAGATCCCAATGACGGTTTACCACCACCACCGCCGCCACCGGCTCCACCAGCAGTTAATTAATATTCGAATTTAGATGGGAGCAAACGGCAGATAATAATGAACATTTTGTCTATCAATTGTAATTCAACACAATTAAGTTAACGCCTTTGGGATTTGTTTGGTCATGCCCAATCTCTTCTTACTTGACTTCTACCACGTAAATATATTGGGTGCGTTCAGAATTGCATCAAGCCAAAGCATCAGTCTCTTTTTATTTCTAAACTATAATTGATAAAAATGTCAAATATACGCAACCACGGTTATAAGTCGAATTGGAACTTAGTTGGGTAAATAAGACATTTGCATCAAATATAGTTTAGAAATAAAAGATACTGATACATTTCTGAACGCACCCATTTTTAACTCTTCATCATACATTTTCGGACNCAAAGGCAAGATCCCAATGACGGTTTACCACCACCACCGCCGCCACCGGCACCACCAGCAGTTAATTAATATTCGAATTTAGATGGGTGCAAACGGCAGATAATAATAAACATTTTGTCTATCAATTGTAATTCAACACAATTAAGTTAACGCCTTTGGGATTTGTTTGGTCATGCCCAATCTCTTACTTGACTTCTACCACGTAAATATATTGGGTGCGTTCAGAATTGCATCAATCCAAAGCATCAGTCTCTTTTTATTTCTAAACTATAATTGATAGAAATGTCAAATATACGCAACCACGGTTATAAGTCGAATTGGAACTTAGTTGCGTAAATAAGACATTTGCATCAATTATAGTTTAGAAATAAAAGATACTGATACATTTCTGAACGCACCCATTTTTAACTCTTCATCATACATTTTCGGACGTTTTGGACTGGCTGGTCCCAAACAAACTATTGAAAAATATTAAACAAATTAATGTGTGAAATAAGGCGTGAATTATAAACCAAAATTAAATCGAAAATTTTAGCACATACATTGATTTTTGTTACAAGTGTGGCAAAATGAGTTTCCTAAATGAAGCCAGCATATCGATGGCTGAGTGGAAGATCGACCTATCTCGGCAGCCAGTTCGAAAACAATTTATCTCAAAAAACTTTTCAAGAGCGTCCTATTTCAGAATTCGTTTCAAAGACGCCCTATCTCAGCTGCCGATTCAAAAACGCCCTATATCAGCATATTTTCAATACATTTTGAAGTAAGATAGGGCGTTTTTGAATCGAATTTTGAGATAGGGTGTTTTTCAATAAAATTCTGAAATAGTGCGTTCTTGAAAAGTTTTTTTAGATAGAGCGTTTTCGAACTGGCAGCCGAGATAGGTCGATCTTCCACTCAGCCGTCGATATGAAAGTAAAAATATAGCTCTGTACTTGTTTTGTCAATATTTTCTACATTCCCATAACTTCCCGAAGAATTGTAAAAAAAAATCCTGAAATTAATGCAATNTGCATCAAGCCAAAGCATCAGTCTCTTTTTATTTCTAAACTATAATTGATAGAAATGTCAAATATACGCAACCACGGTTATAAGTCGAATTGGAACTTAGTTGCGTAAATAAGACATTTGCATCAATTATAGTTTAGAAATAAAAGATACTGATACATTTCTGAACGCACCCATTTTTAACTCTTCATCATACATTTTCGGAGGTTTTGGACTGGCTGGTCCCAAACAAACTATTGAAAAATATTAAACAAATTAATGTGTGAAATAAGGCGCGAATTATAAACCAACATTAAATCGAAAATTTTAGCACATACATTGATTTTTGTTACAAGTGTGGCAAAATGAGTTTCCTAAATGAAGCCAGCATATGAAAGTAAAAATATAGCTCTGTACTTGTTTTGTCAATATTTTCTACATTCCCATAACTTCCCGAAGAATTGTAAAAAAAATCCTGAAATTAATGCAAANAATAGTGCGTTCTTGAAAAGTTTTTTTAGATAGAGCGTTTTCGAACTGGCAGCCGAGATAGGTCGATCTTCCACTCAGCCGTCGATATGAAAGTAAAAATATAGCTCTGTACTTGTTTTGTCAATATTTTCTACATTCCCATAACTTCCCGAAGAATTGTAAAAAAAAATCCTGAAATTAATGCAATTATGGGCAAATTGTTTATTGTAATTCGCTTAATATGTATGTGTATGTTTTTGTACCCAAACAAAGTGAGCGAGATACTGGCTGCTTATGAAAAGCTCATAAAAACCTATATCAGCCATACATACACTAGTATTGAATATACATATACAATACTTTGTCGTGTAAAATATGAGTACTAGGTAGATAAATGGTATTTTTTCGATGTTTATTTCACGTCTAACGTATACATTTCCATTTGAATAAATAAATTTATATCCAAAATTGTGTCTATTAAAGTTTTTCATAGGCCTTCTATGCGACGTTTAAGAGGCTGATTTGTTGCTGTAGCAGCTGATTTCGCTATAGTTGGTGCATGTGGCAGTCGCCTCTCTCGTGGGTTGGGCAGTGCACTTATGTGCATAGATTGGGTCGTCATACATGCGTAAAGGCACCCAATTTTGGATAAGAGTTGATATAAGCTCTTTATCAGCTTTTTTCGCCGAACTTGAATAGCTCAGCTGGTAGGTGGTGGTTACCGCATCTCGCACATGGGTTGCTCACGTTGCCCAGAGTGCGCGAACGAGGACGCAAGAGTCGGGATTGAGTATAGCCATGCAACTGTAACTGCATACCCAGCGCAATGACTATACCCCATTGCAATGAAATTCGTTACAACATGAAAATTAAAAGATTAAAAAGCGACGTATTTTTGAAAACAAATCAATGAATTTTTGCAGTAGTAGATATGCAGGGATTTCAATTTATCGTATAGGTATTTATATACACATACGATTTGAAAGCAATTCTGACGACTTTAAATAAAAAACATCGTTTTGCGAATCCTAAGTCTTTTTTCTTTAAGAGACTACGAAATCTGTAAATATAGTTCGTGTCAAGGGAATACGGTTCATTCGTTTGCGTTCCCTTGCGTTTTTTACTTTTATAAGTAGCTTTAAGTAGAACCACTAACTGCTTTATTTTCTGATGGTCTGTTTTAGAAAATTAAATAAACCTGATGCTATTTTTAGTATAAAAATTTTACACAGTTTTTATAATAGCAAACTATATAAAAAGTGTTCAAGATGTTGCCTACATTTAGGCAAATTACAATGTAGAAATTTTCAAGATAATGCGTGCTTTGCTAGTGCTTGGCCGAACTTCTCCGATTTGTGGTCTGCGCTTTGATGATGTCACGGAGGGACTATAGTGACGTTTCCAGGACATCGGGTCTACGTAATGACCCAGATTCATATCTGCCCAAGTACTGTCATTCGAGCATCAGTCCTCAAAAACTTGGGAAATTTTTATGATGCCACAACAACAAAAAGCTACAGTTTTACGCTGCCTCCGAACAGCTAATAGCTTTGTTAATCAACAGCTCAACTTTTCGTTCGTGCTTTCACAGTTCAATTTCACGGTAAAAAAAACTTCCCCGACCTG